GAATGTAAACAACATACATCAGAGGATGACAAATAACAAGGTTTTGTGGACCGACTTTTGACAGACTCACACGACTTTGACATACGTCCACGCAATGTCGTGGACGTAACAGACCAGGCACGTGCGTTACTTCACGCCAAAATGATGAGACGTATTTTCGGAACTTTTCTTACCTGCAAACTGCAGAAGAGCGATTTACCGTGGGGGTGTCGGACTACGTGGGGGTGTCGGACTATCGCGAATGGGACAGCCCAGGACTATACGTTATAAGAAGCCTTGCAGTGACAGAAAATGCGCCATGTGGAGCAATGTGACCAATTTTAAGCGTTTCGTAACAAATTGAGGTATTCCTTTCAGCATTTTCACGTGGCGGACCTGCAGACTAGGACAGCCGGCCTCCTCGGGTGGCAGCGACACCCGGTTGTTTACATCGAACTTACCTGTGTTTGTGATCATGTACGGGGCCAACGCGAACAAGGCCAAGAGCAAGACCCCCATCTTGGACTTCATGACGACGCCTTGGTCCTGAGCTGTTTCGCCGGTCGGGACCTGCCGTCGCGGGCGGCGGACGGATCACGACTGTCAGGTCGGACCCGCACCACTGCTGCAGCAGCACTGACGGCGGCCCTGGCTGCGTCCGGAGTGAGCGCAGTCTCGCTCGACCTGCGGCGCGGCGTGGGAGAGACACGGAGACCAGGTCGACCGCAGATTTCGAACGCAGCCCAGGTTAATCAAATGCAGGGCGAGGAAACCCCGCAGAATTAACAAGAGCGCTAGTGTGCGTAGCTGGCCGGGCCGGGCTGGTTGGGCTGGCCACCGGGTGCCCCCGCCCCCGTGGGGGCGCCACCGGAAGGACGCCTCAGCAGCCCACTTGTCTGGATGCAGCTTAGATCTGGCTATAGCGTTATGAAGATATAGATAATAGGGAGGACAGGACAGTGGTCCTCATCTCCACCACGCGTTACAGGCAGTATCTGTGCTGTTCTTTGGCCGCACGCACCATTGGGGGCATGAGCGTCCTTCCCTTCATTGGTTCGGGGCGCCGCGGAGGTAGGCAAACCCTCCTGCACCTGTTTACTATCTTATGGACTTTGTCATTGACAGTCAATGCTGAAAAGGGAAATGAAGAAAGGGTAGTCTGTTACAATGTTTCAAGGCATTCAAATTTGTTTTATTGTTTGTTTGTTGTTGTTTTTTTTTTTTTACAGTACACAAGTACCTGCGCAAAGTAGAGATCAACAGAAAGCAAAAACAAAGAAAAAAAATACACTGTTCCATTTAAAAAGAGAATGTTATATTCTGTGCATGAAAAATTGTAATTTCCATCGGAACAATATACACAAAAATTTGTCCAAATTAAGTATGCATTTGTGTGAACAAAGGCTACTTTTAGAATGACGAGCAAAAAGGGGTTTTACAAGAGTTCTGTTTTTGTTTTTTTTGGCAAAGTTTATGACAGCATCAAGTGGGTAGGACAAGATATTTCCTGAAAAACCTATGCAACTTGAAGAATAACAAACAAAACATACATAAATATTTTTTAACATTTTTGTTATTCATGCATCTAAAATCAACTGCCAAGTCATTGATAGTAATAAAAATTTACTTAATATGGAAATATATCATCAAGACGTCTCAGGAAGCTCTTCTTTTAATTGTGACCTTTCCCCGTACAAGGTACAGCAGAGGGATTCTTACTTTAGTGTTATCAAGTTTCTTGACATATATCTGTAAGCAAGAGAAACATATTTTAACTCAGAAACAACCAATAAGATTCTAGTATTTCAGGTGATAATGTTAGGTGTTCTTACAACATCATTGCCAATAGCAGAGATATTTCCTGCAAACCTAGGCATATCTTTGCCTTCAGCATACACAGGTTGTCCTCTATGGAACCTGTGGGCATAGGCAACATGATAAAATGTAATGTAGGTTTTATACAACAACAAAAAAAAGTAAATAAATTAGGAAATGTTTTGAAAAATTACCATCTACGCTCATAAACTAGTTTTCCATCTTCAATTCTTGTATCCTGGTTTGAGCTGTCTGTTATGGGAGATGGAGGCCGATTTACAGAAGGGTTAGGAAAATCTGTATTACCACAAACAAAGAGATGAGTTAACATCAGGTTTGATTTATGTTTC